GGCTCTAATGGCTCCTAAGATGGCTGGTGCTTATCTCTGACCCCAGAAAGCACAAGGGGCAGAATCCTGTGTTAATCCTCTCACAGCTGCAGTAGCTAGTGGCTAGCCCTGTATTTTATGCCTGAAGCTGGCTCAGGGCATGTGAGCTGCTGCATGTTTACTGTCAGCAATGACTCTGGAAAATATCTTTTTTTCTACATTCTGCCTTCCAAAAACAAGATGCGTGTCTTATCTGGGGGCATATGGTATTCAAAAAAGTGTCGCACAATTATAAAAATTGATCATGTTTAGCTGCACAATTTAAAAAATTAGTCACAATTAATCGCAATTTTAATCGCACAGCTAAAAATTCCAAATTATGTGCAGAAACTCAAAATTATGCAAAATTATGCAGGTACTTTATATGCTTGGGGGGGTGGGGTGTAGTGTGTGTGTGGGAGTGGGGAATTTCTAAAGGTGTGGGGTTTGGAGCCTGGGGAGGGGTGGATCCCCGCACACCCTAGCAGGATGTGTGGGTCCTGTGGGTCAGGAGTGAAGGGCAGCAGCAGGGCTGGGGGAGCTGTGGCTTGGGCATGAGGAGCAGACACACACACACACACACACACACACACACACACACACACACACACACCTCCATGCTAGTAAGTCTGTGGAGGGGAAGGGGTGAGGGGCAGATTGAGGTCCCTATGGTGAGGGAGGGAATGGGGCAGCGGCAAGCACTGAGGTGAATGAGACCCAGGGCTGGGACAGGTCATGGGACAGAGCTGCAGGCAGCTTGTCCAGGAGTGCAGGGGGTGGTGGCTCCCCACCACTATGTTCACCCCTGGGCAGGCATGGGGAGGTACATGCCCCCTGGATTTGTGCGTGGGGCAGAGGCAGGCTGCCCACTGTGGGCTGGGGCTCGGCACCCTGCTGCCTTTTCCCCGGGAGTCACGTGATGCCATGCTGTGTGTCCCACCACTGGGTGTGCAGGCGATGTGTAATGCAGCCAGCATGCAGCTCCCAGGGCAAAGGCAGCAGGATGCAAAGCCCCAGCCTGCAGCAAGGTGCTCGCCTCTGCCCCATGCACAAGTCCAGGGGGCACATGCCCCCCCCCATGCCTCCTCCAGGGGTACGCACCATGACAGGGAGCCACGCCCCTCTCCCCCGCACTTCTGTATGAGCCTCCTCTGGCTCTGTCCCATGATCCACCCTGGCCCCAGGGCCCCATTCATCCCAGAACCTGCCCCTGCCACATTTCCTCCCTCACTGTGGGGGTCCTTCATCTGAACCCCCACCCCTACCCTCTCCCCCCATCCTGCTCCCTCCACAGGCTTACCAGTGCAGTGATTCTCTACATGCAGTGTGCAGGCTGCAGCTGCCTGTCTGTGTGTGTGTGCGCCCCACTCCTGCATCAACCTGCAGGTGCCAGGAGCCCATGCCCAGGCTGCCCTGCAGTCCTCTGCGCTGCCACTGCCGTCCCGCTGGGTGGCCCAGAGATGGCAGAGCAGAGCCCAGATATGGGCTCCAAAATCATGTGCATGATTAAAGCATTAAAAAAATTACCTCAAAAACCAATTAATGCGTTAATTGCGCATATTAACTGTGATTTATTGACAGCCCTAATCTGTACCACAAAAATAGCATAAAATCATTTTACTGTGATGGTCACAGTGGAAAAAATTCTCATGAGTGTTTTTTGAATAAACAAACTGCAAATAAAAACTATGTGGCATGATAACACAGTACAACTTATTCCATGTATACAGAAAAGAAAAAACATATTTTCATATAGAAAAAAAAAACATGGACAAAAATTAAACCATGTGGTTGGTTCCCTTCTGTTTCTATGCAGAAATTGGCTCACATATCGTTTAATCTTTTTTAGGTGATGTGTTTCATCTGCTTTAAGACTTCCCTATTGTTCTGTTCATGGCAGTATAAGATGTTTGATTATAATCACTGTGCTTGGCACTACCATCTAGTCCACCCACCATATTTTCTGCTATGACTTATAAAGGTTCAGTTGTTGCACCTACCTGAATTATTTATAGAAGAACAAAAAAGTGATTCAATTATACAATAGCAAAGAAAAATGGGACCGTGGGGCATAATTATTACATACTGAACCTATACTCTTCCACAGATGTTGTCATCAAAGGCTCAATTCAAAAATCTCTGTCAGCCAGTTTGAAAAAATAAATATCTAGGTACTAAAGAATTTATGAATTGTAATTCAAGATGAAAACTAATGACTTAAATAAATGTTATTATCTAAAAAGAGTCACCAAGGAATACACCTCCTAAGGAAGAAGTACAACACAAGCCTCATTACACAAATCACTGCCATGTTAACAAAACACCTGTTTTCTTGCTCTGATGGACAGTATAGGAAATGGCATATTTAATTGTCTCTACTCAGCATCCATTCTTCCAGAAGACAATTTAAAATGGGAGTAAAGGAAAAATTCTGGAAATCATTCCGAAGCGAGTGACAAACTCATTTGTCCTATGCCCATAATGTAGAAAGCCCACCCCAAATTACAAGCACTGAGAAAAGTTATCTGAAGGAAATTTAAAAGTACAAGAGTAATGGGAACATTTTTGGCTCCCTGAATAAAGTTATTATAACAAGATGCTATCACTAACACATAATTCAAGATGGTCTGGACCTAATTTGCAGGCGATATGGCACTGAGCCAGAGACAATCTGTCATTTAATGGTTGGCTGCCCACAGCTTGCACAAGTGAATTATACTGATGCTTCATTGCGGTTGTTAAGTACATGCACTGAAAAATGTGTTAGAACACTTAACTGAAACATGAATTATAGGTTTATTACCAGACCCAAGAAATAACAGCAAAATTGAAGATCAAACTTCTGTAACATTAGACAGAATGACCACTGATGCTCCAAATAAGGGCTTTACTTTTTCATTACTTGCTCACTAGTGCCTACAGCTGACTTCACTGCAAGGTGAGGTGTGAGAAGAAAGTAGGAGCAGCTCTAACAAGCCAATGTATATTGTAGCTTGTGAAAATGTCTCAGACAGATAAGCATTGCCATTTTGTCAGGGGCCACCATCCAAAATATATGCAGTCAACTCATTGCAGGTTGCTTGGACTGAAAATCAAGAAGATAAAAAACAATACTGCCCTTGTCCCTAGTAAATTAATTGCCACGCAGGCTCAACGTGTCATTGTTCTTGTCACCAGTTAGAATGATTCTCATGCATTCAACTAACACCAACTTATCAAATATGAATCTGGTGCTTCCTCAGTGATAAACTTGGAATCTATCCTAGCCCTCACAAAAGATACTGAGAAATAAAGGACCATCATAAATGCCATATTTTTTGTATACCACATGCCCCCAAATAAAGACATACACCTTGATTTTGGAAGGCAGAATGCAGAAAAGGGGGGGGGGGTGATAAAGTAAGCTTCCCTCAAAACATGCCAGGAAAAGTGGCAGTCCACAGGACACAGGACACAGTCCAGGTGGTATAGCAGGACAGCAACAGTAGCAAGAGTGTCATTTCTTTACACTAAATAGTTCTTTATATAAGTTCCTATAAATAATGAAGTGTTGTTTCCACACCACAAGTTTCATCAAGATACTACAGAAAGCATGCAGCAGCTCACATGCCCTGAGCCAGCTTCAGGCAAAAGCTACACAACTCAACCACTAGCTACTGCAGCTGTGAGAGGGTTAACACAGAACTCTGCCCCTTCTGCTTGCTGGGACCACTCTTAAGACACATACCCCAGTTTTGGAGGGCTGATTGCAGGGAAAGGGGGTGTGTAGTATGCAAGTTCACAGTTCACCATTTACAGCTCTCTATGTGGAAATGAACTGAAATGTTGCACTAGGGACAGAAAATCGACTAACCGGTAACTTGTAAAAAATACAACATATCTTCCCCCAATTTATAGCATTTACTCATTAAATATAAGCAGAATTTCATGAAAATTGATAAGCATGATTTAGTAACTTAATAATAAACAAGCCTGCCATAACAAAGTTGTTTTATGTCACAATTACATATGTGAATATATCAAGGACATGGAAGGCTGTGTGTGCAATTAAAATGCTAAGTAATAGTGTATGACACAGTTTCAGTTCCTGAGTTGCCTATTCCACTGGAATAGACATAAGGCCAGATCCTATTCTACTAGTTGTGAATCAACGTTCAATTTAGGGGATAAGTCCTATTTCAACTTATGCACTTAAGGAGCACTTGCATAGCCACCATCTATCTAAGTGCAATTCTTGGTATTTATATGACTTTCATATTCTATTTCCACTTGTGATGGAATAGAATTGTTCAGGTCCATGTGTTCCTAAAATGGCAAGGAAGAAGATAGCCCCTCCAGCAAAGTGTCTCTCACTGAGCCACCCTCCTAGCTTGTGGAATTCTTCCTGACCTCATATATCTTCCCCTATTGACTGTCCTCTGGGCCGAATTCAAGAAGTCCTCTGGAAAGGGAAATTCCTAACCTACTGGAAAAGGTGATTCAAATCCCCTCTGACTATGGGGCACCTACAAATTGTTGTCAACCCTGGTCATTTTCAAAGAGCCTAAGCCAAGCTGCAGAAGTGTGGCCAAGCCTACTTGGCCACTGCAGAAGTGTCCCAAAGCCTATTTCTGAGTAACCACAAAGTGAACGTTTGCAGACATGACAACCACCTTAATCAAAGCAAAGGAAGCAATCAAAATGCAGATTGGTTACTGATAAGATAAGCAAGAAACGGATCCAGAGCCCAACCAGTTAACAAAAGTAGAATAACCTACTCCTTTTTACTGACTTATTAGGCTAGATTGAAGGGCTGCTCTCCTTGGAGGATTCTATTTTGCCCCAAAACCTATGGGAACTTTTGCATGTGCTCCAACACGTTCTGAATAGAACACATCAGAGCAGACTTGACTGATCAATGTAACAGGGATAATCTTGAGCAAATGCTATGTTGGCTTGTTTACCCTCCTCATTAAGCCTTTCAAGGATGAAAGAAAAACTACCGTGAACTTTTTGTTGTAATTATTTAGAGTTGTCCTCCTCTGACATGCATATTGAGAAACTCTGTCTGCAGCAAGTGATGAAGCTTCTGATACACATGTCTCTGAAGTAGCAGAACAAGCTTGTTGCACCTGATGTGAGAGAAAGAAAAACAAGTACTGAGTCTGTCAGAACATTTTAACCATCCAAAATACATTCTCTAGAACAATAGAATAGTAAAATTAATTTCAATTTAGTTAATTTAAAAGCCTACATTAACTCTTTTCTATAAAAAAATAAGTAACTTTCCTATTGTCCACTGAGAAATTTGGTGTTTGAGCTTCCTGAGAATATTTGGTTTCCACATATAGATTTCAAAGGTAGAGTGGAAACAAAACCTATTTTTGCACTGGATACACTAAATATTCGCTTCTCTTGTCAATGGTATATGATTCCCAAACTAGAAAACTTAAAAACTGGTTATGGTTGAAAAAACCTAAATAGTCTTTCCAGATAACAACAGAAGGGTTGAGAGCAGAGCTTTTCAAATAATTAATTTTTTATTTCTATTTGTATCAAACTAATATAAAATAGTTTTGTCCATTTTTTCTGCCAAAACAGAAAGGAAGGAAGGAAGGACGGAAGGACTTTGACTTTTTGCTACTTTATTCTGGGATTTGGGGTACAGAAAGTTGGCCCCTATGGGGTCCAATATACAAAGCAAAGACAAACAAATTACCATCAAACCAAGAGCACCATGTCATTACAGTCATAACATCACACCATGACAAACATCTTTGCTGTATTACACGTCATGCCTAACATGCTATTATGTGGTCGGGACACCCAGCCACATGGTCATACAGACCAAAGCCCTCTATAAACAAATGATTCCTACCCTGCTCTATCCAATCATACATGTGACAACACCTTCAACTTCCCACACAAAGAAAAAAAGCAAAAAGGAGCCTGGTGAGGGCTCAGGGTGCAGCGCGAGCTTGGAGTCGCAGTCCACCACCGACCCTGCCCATTTGCCCAGACTGGACATCAATGTTCTCTCTAAGGTGTAGTGGTCCATGAGTGCACTACTTCGGGCCATGAGCATGCCACTTTGGTCCGTTCCCGAATTGGTCCCACCTCCCCCTTTTGCTGTGTGCCACTTTGGTCTGCCCCACAATATAACAACAAAAGATGATATTATAACCTTTATTTACCAAAATGACTCTCATCTACCTTTGGTAAATAAATGATAGAAAAAGCAGCTAAGCAGCTAGAATGATAGTAAAAGCAGCTAACAGCTAATTTACCCAAAGTGCCTTATCTGCCTATGCCCTTAGACCAACACAGCTGTAATCAGCACTTTAATACTTTTAAATTCAAATGCAAAAACTAGTGACAATAAAGACAAACCACTAAATGGCTAAAAAACTGGCGCCAGCCCCAGCCCCCACCTCGCCTCTGGGAGCACAGCTTGGAGGGAACCTTGGCCATAAACACTGGCCTTTCTTTTGATTTGAAATCTGCTTTTATTTCTGCAGTGAATGCATTTTAGGGTGTAGAGGATTGGGTATTCATTTGGAATTCATTTTTTTTATTTTTCACTTATTAATATGCCTGTTTTTGATGGTTTTAACTCGTACCAGTTCTAGCTTTACTGAACCATATATAGTGAGTCACTACTTCTGTTTTTCAAGCTTGGCAAGCATAGTGAGGATTCACCTTAGCTGTATCCTAAGATATTAGTTTATCTGTCCAAGGGTCTTGTGAGCTTTACTCAGCCATAGCATCTCAGATTGATTGGATGGAAATTGAGTAGAGTCACTGAATAGAACAGATTTTTCTCTCTGATGCAGCTAAAGGTAAGATCTTTTAAAGATACCTGGGTACCCCATTCCCTTTGAAATGACATTTTAAACATATTTAGGTTCCTAACTCCCACTGAAATTAGTAGGCAGTTGTTAGACACTGAAATACTGCAGCAACAAGCCTTAACAGCTTAGTCTGAGGTTGCACACGCATATTCAAGTAATCTGGGAAACACTCCTAAATTTGAATGCAGCTGGGAGTGGAGCAGTTTCCTGGTCCCAGCCCTAGCCCCCGCCTCACCTCACCTCACCTCGCCTCACGGCCAGGAGCAGAGCAGTTTCCTGGCCCCAGCCCCGGCCTTGCCTCGCCTCACGTCTGGGAGCGAGGAGACACGTGGCATTGGGGCTGGGGAGCGGAGCAATTTTCCGGCACTGGCAGAGCTCGCGCCAGCCCCCATCCCTGCCTCCCCATGCCTCTGGCAGAAGGAAGCACATGGTGCCAGGGCTGGGAAGCGGAGCAGTTCCCCGGTGCAAGCCCCCAGCCCCAGCCCCCAGCCCCTGTCCCCACCTTGCCTGAGCTTACCTCGGTAAATGTCCCACACTAGCCTCAGTGCCTCTGCCATGCTCAGCTTGCTGCCCAGTTCCTCTCAAAGCCGCAGCCCAGCTCCTCACTGGGTGGGTGCGCGGCATTAATAAATTCATGCGTGGCATGGTTTTAAAGTGATGCGTGGCCACGCATGTGCACAGCTTAGAGGGAACCTTGCCAGTCATAATGTCAGAGCGCATATTGAAGGAGGCCATCCTCCATGTGGCACAGTGCTCCCTCAAGGGCCCAGAGCACCTCAAATGTGGGCACTGCCCACCAGAGCACAGCACGTTCAAACTCCAGTGACAGATGCGCGCACACCAGGAGGCTGAAAAACCACAGGGCATCATCTGAGCCAATCCCAGCAAGCCAGTTGTGGCAGCTGCTGGGGGACTCCCTCTTTGACGGA